AGTGGTTAAAGTGCTTGGCTGCTAACCAAAATGTCAGCGGTTTGAACCCACCAGCAGCTCCATGGGAGAAAGATGCGGCAATCTGCTTCTACAAAAGATTACAGCCTTGGAAACCCTATGGAGCAGGGTTTACTCTGTCCTATAGTGTTGCTATGATATGGAATTGACATGATGGCAACAAGTTTAGTAGGTCCTTTGCTTCTTTGCTTACTCTCCAACCTCCATCTTCTTCCTCCACCTCTCCCCCTCCCTAGTCTTTCTTCTTCTTAAGTGAATGAAAATCTGATATTATGCTCTGACAGGTTTAAAATAAAAATTGAAAATGCAACATAGAGCTTTGGTACCACCATACAGAGTTTGTTTAGGTACTTTGGGCTTATTTACAATAGCTATTTCACATCTATGATATAGGAAATGGTAATCATGATTCTGATCATAACTCTCTCCCTTACTTAATGACAGCTTATGGAAAAATTATTACCCCTCCTAAATTTCCTAACCAGAAATTTAGGAACAGAAGGGAATGAAAAGACTGGAAACAAAGAAAAATAGATCTACATTTACACATTGGACACTTATTCTGAGGATAGCCATGCCATCTCTACCGATAAAAGACTATGTTACGGTGAATGTTCCTAAAAGTTCCAGTTGTTTACAGTGTTTATATTGTGTGAGGTCCATTTGTACCCAAGTCAGGAGAGAAGGGGATATACAGCTTAGATTTTAGGAACCTCTAATCAGGTCTTGGGACAGGGCATCTTTCTGTTCTCAGATCTTCCGTGCCAGACAAGCATTTGCTAGGGGTTTTTAACTACCGTAAAGGGAAAAGGGTTTAACTTGGCCTTTTTACATTTCTTTTCTTAAGATTGCAAGTTGCATTATATATAGGAATTGACTTTTGTTTTAGTTCTTTAACTACGTTTATCATATCTTCTACTTTTTCTTTCTATTCTTTCAGATGGTGAAAATAAAGCACTCGTATAAAACACTATTCTTAAATAAGGGATGTTGGATTCCATTTTCCCCTAGTTAGCTCCAAACAAGCCTTTTCTTTTCTCTGCTTTAGAGAGGTGTCTCCAGACCTCCTCAATCCCTGTCAATTATAGGTGGTTATACTTGGTTCTAAGAGCCCTGGTGGTGCAGTGGTTAAGCACTCGGTTGCTAACTGAAAGGTGGGTGGTTCAAACTCACCAGTGGCTCCATGGAAGAAAGATGTGGCAGTCTGCTTCCATAAAGATTACAGCCTTGGAAACCCTATGGGGCAGTTCTACTCCATCCTATAAGGTTGCTATGAGTCGGAATCAACTCGACGGCAACAGGTATATCTGGTTCTACACCTTACCCTAAGCCAGGAAATCTATAGTCAGCCGGATGCCCCCATCAGTGGGGCCTGGACTTAGTATTTGGTACTTCTAGGGTAAATTCTGAACAATTTCATGGCCACTGAGCCACAGACTCCTCCTAATTAGTGTTTGTTCAGTCCATACAACTGGATGGCTGCCTCTCTTCCCTCAATTGCACTTTAGCTGCTTTCCTAAATCTGGTTCCATTTTCAGAACCGAAGTCCGCTAGGTTGGAGCCATGACATCTGTCTGGCTTTTGACAGCCACCACTGCTCCTTGGGAGCTGACCTTTTCGCATATGTCTTGGCTTCTATTCCAAATTAGACCAACCACCCAGAATATGATGCTGCTCTAACCTGACTCCACAATTGCCATTTTCTTACAACTCCTGCTACAATGGCCCACCTATTGGATCCATCCCTTTGGGTAGAGATATCAACTCAAATCAAGGCCAGATTTTCCATGGCTCTTATGACAGCAGACCTGGGTCTGCTTCTAAAGATAGCAGTTATACTAATTCAGTTGCTGCTTCCTCCCCAAATTGTTAAAGTTCTATCATGTCCTGTAGCTGAGTTACCTTTGTTAATGATGCTAGTTTCATTTGTCTCCTTTCACCCTAAAGTTATTCCCCCAGAAAAGTTAGTGATCCTGGTAATTCAATAGAATCAAGTAAAAAATTTTGCACTATGAATAGTTCCAAGATTACTCACATAAAAGGAGAAAACAGTATCTCATCACTATAATAGTCAGATCTTATAAAAGGAAATCAATTCCCATCTACACCTTGATGTCTCCTAAATCTATATTCCCAGGCCAGATTTCTTTTCTAAGTTTCAGTTTCATATATCTAACTTAGATCTTTCCATTTGGATGTATCACAGGTACCTCAAACTCCACATATTAGACACAGAAATCCATAGTGTTCATTCATGACTTTCCTTCACCTGCTTCCTCAATAACAGCAATTACAAAAAAAAACAAAGAACAAAAAAAAACCTCTATTTGTTTCATCTACCTAGTTGCTCAGAGTAGGAACCTGGACTTCACTGGGATTCCCATTTCCTCACACTTCACAATCAATCAACCAACCAAACCAAAAAAACAAACCAGCTGCCATCTAGTCAATCCTGACTCGTGGCAATCCCATGTGTTACACAATAGAACTGTACTCCATAGGGTTTTCAAGGCTGTGACTTTTAGAAAGCAGATTGCCAGGCCTCTCTTCCAAGGAGCCAGGCACTGTTCTAAGAGTTTTGTGAATATTCATTCACGTAATACTCATAATATTTCTACGAGGTAGATACTATAACCATCCTCTTTTCCAGATGAGGAAGATGATTCACATCAAAGTTAAGAAACTAGCAAAAGGTTACAGAGACAGGATTTGAACCATGTAGTTTGCCTCCAGAACTCGGGCTTTTAACCACTGTACTATGCAACTTCTCTATGTGTGACCTATGAGTGTGGAAAAATTTAAATTGTCATAGTAAAAGTTTTACTTGTTACATTTATTATTACTCACAATTATAAAATATTATTCATATATTAGCATACCAGTCATGTAGAGTAGCTGGGCAGAGATTTTATCGTCCTTGTAGAAACTTCACATACTGTAGAAGCAAAGAGGGACAATTATTTCCCTATCCACATATAGGAGACACAAGTGTCAATATTTCACATTATTAACCTTACTCAAAAGATTTACTACAAGATGTCTTCTATGAGGAATTTTATCTACTGTTCTTCTCTGGCACACATGGACTCAATACCTCATTGCTTTACAATTGTAAATATGACATTTTTCATTGCTCTGTGTGATCTGTGGGGCATGTCACTTGATGTATTTTTTCTCTGCAATTAGATTGTAAAATTCCCAAGGCCAGGAGCAGTATCTTCTATATATATTGCAATGGAACCTCTCGTACATGTCTCCACACTAAAGCACCAAGTCCCTTCAGTCCTGAATTTCTCTTGAACTTCAGAATGTTCTTTTGAGCATCAAATCAGTATAACTGAACTATAAATTATAAAACTGGATAAAGTTGAACATATCCACATAATGTCTGGCAGGCTCTTCAAACTGTTGATGTTGTGTGCCTTTGAGACTATTCCAACTCACAGGGACCCTGTAGGACAGAGTAGAACTGCCCCATAGGGTTTTCTAGCCTGTAATCCTTACCAGAGCAGATTGACAAGTCTTTTCTCCCATGCAGCACCGGTGGGTTCAACCTCCGATCTTCAGGTTAGCAGCCGAGAGGGTAACTACTGTGCCACCAGGGCTCCTTCTTCAAACTGCACATATCCCCAAAATCCAAAGTTTTTTTTTTTTTCAGATCTGTGCCTCTTCAATATTTTGTCCTTAAGTAGCAGAAATATTTCTACCCATAAATTCTCTCTCTCAGTCACCAAATTTTAAAATTCTGCCATCACAAATGCCTAATCTATCTGCCCCTCATCTAACTACCCTTTCTTTTCATCTCCACTGACCCTGGACTCCATTCAGGCCTTAATTACCCCTGACTTAGACCACTGTAAGGAGCCCTGGTAGTGCAGTGGTTAAAGCCTCTCCTGCTAACCAAAAGGTTGGTAGTGGTTCGAACCACCAGCTGCTCTGTGGCAGAAAGATGTGGCAGTCTGCTCCCATAGAGATTTACAGCTTTGGAAACCATGGGGCAGTTCTGCTCCGTCCTGTATGGTCACTAACAGTCGGAATCAATTTGAGGGCAGTGAGTTTTAAATCACTGCAACAGCCTCCTAACAGATTGCTCTGAATGCAATTTCCTATTAGGAAAATCTGTTCTCCATGTTTCTTCTATGGCGACATTTGCAAACGTTGATAATATCGTTACTTGGTCATGCAAAACAATTTATACAGAATAAAGTCCAAATTCCCTACTATGGCATTCCAAGTTTTCCACACATCAGCCTTGGTTTCCTTGCTGACTAGGTCAGAGGTTAGGAGTGGGTCTCTATGAAAATGTGTGACAGTGCATGAAGATCTCTCTGTATTTGTTGTACTGAATGGAATCATTTTCTCACACGTGGTGATTGCTCAGCTGGAAGAATCTGGCCACATGCACTGTGTGTGTGGATTTCTTGCCCTCAGTCCTACCTAACACTGAGGCTCCCATACAGGCTCCCAGCCCGCCTCAGAGGAGTGTCACCATCTTTTTGGCAGACAAGCAGCCAGAGAGAAGGTGGACTACACACAATATAACCAGCCTCACTCAGCTGATCTTCTTTAGCCTGGGGTGGGGAAGGGAGTCTTGACTTACTTTCAATATTCCCTCAGATAGATTTGCCCTGACTCCCAAACTGCATGGGTTCTGCAGTTAGAAAAACACGACTTTCCCCGCCAAAAAAAAAAAAAAGCCTTCATTTTGCCACTCATAGCCTCGGTATTATTATCAAACAACTGGGTTAATATAAACCTGGAAGATGACAAGGGCTTCCACCAAATAGGCAGACAGACCAAACACACGCAAGAGCGATAAACCCCACAGACACAAACAGACCTCCGCGAACGCGGGCACCCCCTCTCAAATCTCGCGAGATAACAGCACCGGGGCCTTCGTCCATGCCATACCTCTCGCGAGACCCACAGCTTAAGCTTCGCGCCAACTGGAGGCCGCGGGGGCGTCTCCTGGGGCAACAGTAATGGCTGTGCCACCGCCAGAGCGGCTATTCTCGCTGGAGCTGCTCGTAGAGTGGGTGCACCTTGAAGCTAGGGTGCTGCCGTCGGCCATAGTTGCAGTGGAGGAGGAGGAGGAGGCCTCGCCGCCGTCGCCATCGGGCTCCCTCTGCCCCGCGGTGGCCTTCCGTCTGCTGGACTTCCCCACGTTGCTGGTTTACCCTCCTGGCGGCCCCGCCACGCCCGCCCCGGAATCCCGGCCCGGCGTGGTCAGCTTCGGTCGCGGCAAGTCCTGTTTCTTCCGCCTGCACCCTCCCACCCTGCACCGCCTGCTCCTTAGAACCCCGCTTTACGCGCTGCTCCTGCAGCTGCACCCTGGGCGCCCAACTCCCGCCCCGCAGCTCCTGGGTAGCTGTGGTATCTCGCTGGCCGCTGCAGTACGAAAGGTCCTGGGCCCGACCGCGTTCGTCTCTTCCCAGGGTCATCGAGGAAGCTACCCTTTGTTCAACCTAACGGGGGAGCGGATTGGGGACATTGCACTGGGGTACCGCTTGACTGACCTGGGGAGCTGCTTGCAGGGTCATCTTGAGCGGCACGTCACCTCCACCGGAGGCGGACTGGAGCGGGTAGAGGGGCAAAAGGCATGCGAGGTTAGTTCCCAGCCCCTGCAGGAAAAACAACAGCCAAGGCAGGTAACCGCAGAGCTAAGCTCAGGAGATGATAGGCACCTGGTGGATTTAAAAATCACAAAGGCACAGAAGGATTTAAAGGAAATAGTTTTCCACCGTGATGCCAGCTCTGATAACATGGGTTCTGTAGAAAAGGGCAAAACCAACCCTGTTGTTATTTGTTCAAATGCTAGCAGTAGGAGATGTAATAGCCCCTTAAATCAGGAAGTCACAGAATTGGACATTGAAACCAATACATTTTGCCCTCCTCCTCTGTATTACACTCATTTGACCCAAGAAAAGATGCCTCCTGCACGGGGTAAAATCACATTTGTGCCACAAGTTAATATGCCTGAGGAACTGCATGGTATTTTTCAAGAAGAAAAAGTTGTAAATCCCCCAACACATACTAGTCCTTTAAAATACGTGAGTACCACAACAAATGAGAGTCCTTCAGTGCTTATGAATCCTCCAACACATATTCAGGACATAGGAGCAAGTAATCAAACTGCATGTCATCCTCAAACGGAACAAAATAGAATTAATACTATCAGGCAGCTGCCTTTGTTAAATGCTTTGTTGATTGAGTTGTCGGTGTTATACAACCAACCCATGGCAAGCCCTACTGATATACATCCTCATCTAGCGTGGTTATATAGAACTGAGGATAAGAAGGGACCAGACTCTTCTGCCAAATTCACATGTAAATCTGAATCCAAGAAGGAAGAACTTTCTGTAGAGGAAAAGGAGAAGTCAGTAAGCCTTCACTACAGAAAGAATCAAGTTGAACGTCTCAAAAAAGGTATATGTTTTGAAAAGAACAGTGCTATCCCCCAAAAACAAGTTCCAAGGGGAAGACTACTTTATGGTATAACGAATACACTAAAACTTCGTTTAAAGCAGACAAATCCTGATATGTTGGTAGTACATGAAAAAAGAGAACAGTATAGAAAAATGCAAGCACAAATGTTGGGTACAAAACTCAGAATCCCATCATCCAAAGTTAAAGTATTAAGCTATGCAAAACAACTTCAGAAGCCACATCAACTACCTGAAGATCAGTGTTTAGATTCAGATGCATCTTTTGCTGAAAATACTGATACTTCAAGGCAAATTAGTGGGGTTTTTGATGACACTAGCCCAACTAAAGAAACTAAACTAAAATGTGCAACTGAAAAAAAGACAGTTGATAATAGTGAAAACAGAACCAATAGTGGTTCATTGGAAGAAATAAATGCTGCGAAGTCCATTGTTTCAGAAAAGTTTACTCAGACAAATATTTTAGAAGGAAAAGTGGAGAAGAAAGTCCAGAGTCCATGTGTTTTCCAACAGGATGCAATTGACAGAATTGTAGTTGATAAAGAAATAACTAATAGGCAGATCAAAACCACAGATAATGACGTGCTTATTGCTGATATAAGTGAAAATAAACTAAGTAAAAATAGTTGCTCTGAAAGCATCTCAGAACTGAAGTATTCAGATGACTTTACCAGTCCTTGTTATTCTGAAGATTTCTGTACCACTGAGGACACCAGCAGAAGTTTCCAAGCTCATGACAGCAGGCCAGAAAATCCAAAACGTTGTCAATATACAAGTAAGTCTAGTGAAGCAAGATCATCCTTAAGGAAAAATAGCAGTGAAAAAAGTTCTATTCTTAGCCCACCTTTTTCAGCTGGATCACCAGTGCACTCATATAAAAGATGTCATAGTTCAAAGACTCGGCATAAAAGTTTTGAGGAAGCCTGTAGTATCTCTACCAGTGATTTATCTTCATCACATTGGACTGAGGAAGAAGAAAAACAGGTAGACCAAAATAGTATGCATAATTCTAAAGTTATAAAGAGGGATCAAAACATCTCTATTAAACTTAAAAGAAAAACTGATTGCAAGTCTTTAGAAAAAAGTCAGTCACCAAGGACATCTCAAGTGAGTTCTTATCTGCCATCTAATTTGTCAGAATTAGAACTTAATGCCCTGGAGGGCAGTACATCAGATCAGTTTGAAGAAGGCAGTGATGAAGTTGGTTCACTAAATATTTCCAAGCAATGCAAAGATATCTGTGAATTAGTAATAAATAAACTTCCAGGATATACGGTATAAAACTGATGTGCTTTTAACAACTATGAATATTTTTTATAATCTGTGTACTGCTAATGAAAAAAAAATTAACTTTCTACATTATTTTAACACACATTATGTAAATAATTCAAGAAACAGAAATAAGTTTATTATTCGTTTGATATTTAAATAATATTCTACCGATAAATCTGACAATGTTGATCGTGAAATCACTTTATAACCTAGGTAAGCGTTCTTTTTAAATTGTTGTTTTATAAGAATAAAAGTATGTTACTAAAGTATCTATCAGAGTGTCTTTCTAAAACAGACTTCCTATACACCATTGAATGAAGTCTTGTTAATAAGGGTAGTCTCAAATTATACTGCAAATAGATAATTTAACAAATGTAGTAGACTTACTGCGTGAGGTGCAAAAAGGTATAAAAGTACAGAAGACAGCCCCTGCTGTTATACGAGCTTACAGTTTTATATAGATACTGATTATTTAAGGCTTTGACTCAGTATATAAAACTTGCATTTTCACATCCATAACCCATATTCCCAAGTTGAAGTCTGTCACATTGTCATACAGCTGTATACCTTTCTTAACCACAATTTGTGTAATTACTTGATTAATGTTTATTTTCCACTAGGATTAGGTTCTGAGATGGAAGGAACCGTATCTGTTTTGCACCTAGTACAGTCTATCATAGAAGGTTCTATGATGACAGGAACCATATCTATTTAGTACCTAGCACAGTCTCTGGCATGTGGTTGGGGTGCAATAAAAATGTCTGTTGAACAAATGGATGAAGGCCAGGCATTTAATACTTAATGAGCGGGAATAGAATTAAGCAGTAGAAACAAGCAAAACCCATAAAAATAAACCTACAGAAAATCCTTTTTGGAGATACGTTTATTTGACTGTAACATCTTTGTTTTCCTGGTTATGAACAGTTTTCAGGTGTTCTGTGAAGTCATTGGAGAGAGGATTTTTTTAAAAAAGATGTCTTCCTATACAGTTTCTTGAATAGGTATTCAGTTTATTGTCATTTTAAGTTGTTCAATAGTTTTTTTTTAATGCAAAGAAGTGTTTTTATGAAGTCTAATGATCATTTTCTTATAAATACTTCCATTGCTTTTATACTTAAACTTTGTGTTCAAATATTTACATATGCCCTATTTTAGTTGTGTTATACTTTAATTTTTACACTTTTTAATGTATGTGTTATATATTTAGATGTATGAGTCCCTAATTTTCATTTACTTACAAGTAATTGAATAATTATACAGGCAGTATGGTTTGAAATGGAGCTGTGGTGGCACAGTGGTTAAGAGCTTGGCTGCTAACCCAAAGGTCAGTAGTTTGAATCCACCAGCTGCTCCTAGGAAGCCCTGTGGGACATTCTACTCTGTCCTGTAGGGTTGCTGTGACTTAGAATCGACTGGATGGGCAACGAGTTTTTGTTTGTTTATGGTTTGAATAATTGTAATAATTGATAGGATTTAGATAGATAATGAGAAGAGGATGTTATGTTTTGAGGAACAATATGAATAAAAGAATGATGATGGGAATGAGCATAATATATTCGTGGGACAGTAGGAATATTACCTTGTTTAGAATCGTGAGTTCATACTACACAGTGGTAGAAAAGAAATTTGTTGAGTAAGGAAAATCCCAAGTTGTAGAGAGCCTTGAATGCCAAGCATAATAATGCAGTCCTAAGCAATAGGACCAATGAAGTATTTTAAATTATAAATGATCACCAGTAAGTAATCATTATGACATTTTTATTATTTTAAATTATCAAAAATAATTTCTTAGAGTTACAGAAATTATGGCAGTTTTGAAATATGAAATGTTTTCAATGGCTATGGTCTTAATTTTTCTGTAAGTAGAAAGCATATATCATCTCACAAAATCAAAATAGTTTAATGCCAGGTACTATAGCTAGAGGGGCAGTGGTGGTTCAGTGGTAAAATTTTCCCCTTCATGCAGGAAACCTGGGTTTGATTCCCCACCAATGCCCCTCATGCACAGCCACCAGCTGTCTATCAGTGGAGACTTGTGTGTTGCTATAATGCTCAACGTGTTTCAACAGAACTTCCAGACTAAGATGGTCTAGAAAGCAAGGCCTGGAGATCTATTTCTGAAAATCAGCCAATAAAAATTTTATGGATCGCAACGTCTGATCCTCACCGGATCATGGGGATGGAGCAGGACCTGGCAGCATTTTGTTCCGTTGTGCATGGGGTCACCATGAGTCGATGGCCGACTCAACGGCAGCTAACAACAACTGTAGCTAGATATTCAAATGACTTCAATTTAGTGTGTATACTTTCAATAGCAATTCTTCATTGAAAGAGACAAAAAGCTACAAACAATTTCAGAAATCATCAAATAAATAATTACTTAAAACCAACTGGTTTATTTATTTGGTTGAGAGTACTATGTCACTGTCTATGATGAGAATAGATGAAAATGATGAATTCAGTGTGTTTAAGGTACTCAACACAAAGACTATAGAACTATGCACTTTAACTTGCAAAACTGAAGAGCTGAATAAGCTTTTATTGGAGCTAACCCCAGTAGTAGTTGTTTCTAGAATTATGGTGTTGGTTTTCCTAGTATAATTCTAGTGGAAATGACCTACTTTCATGTATTTTGTACTTCCCATTTGCATTCTATCTTCAAATTCTATTTCATGTTTTAATTCTACAACTTATTAGAGTATTAGAATTCTACAATAAACTTAAAATTTTTTAAGAATTTCTTAATAGATACCAATCTTGAAGCCTTATTTATTTCCTTAATTGCTTAAAGTAATTGAATCATGAAATAGTATTTCAAGGGCATCAATAAGGGAGACCCGTTGTTGACTTGTAAAACTAAGCTATTGCAATCCAGCTTTTCTGAACAACATGAGCATCTAAACTGCTATGGGCGAGGCTGAATGGATGAGGGTCTAAAAAGCAAAGCGAGCCACAGAAATGATGTTAAGACTTCGGTGTAGTACTAATGTTTGCAGCTTGGGAGGCAGCTGTCAATAATGCCAAGTCTTTTGAACTGTTGCCATAAACAGATCCTGTATAGATGCATACAATATGCTGTTTCTTTCTTCAGTTACATGCATGCTATTAATGACATTTTCAAATACAAAGAACAATGGTATTGAACTTCTGTCATACGCTTGTGGCTTTCTGTTGAGAGCCATTCCTTTACATCTCAATTTATATTTTTCTTCCTATACAAGCAGAGAATTTATTATGAAATTATACTTAGAAACCGAACTCTTACATGTACAAAATATATAAGCTAAAAACCATGAATTTACCAACCAACTTTTTAATTACTGCATTGTGTTTTTGCCAAGTCAAAAAATTCCATAACAAAGAAAGTAACATACAAATAAAATAAGCAATATTTATGCTTATTGAGTCAAACTCCTTGAACCTAGAGAAGCAGCCATCCTTCAGGCTGTTTATGGTTTAATTTTGATTAAAATATTTAGGAGTTGTACAGAATGATAATATATGAGCCAGCTGGATCTTCCTCCTAATTTTTAACCTAGAACAATACAAGGAAAACTTACTGTGTCAAAGACCAGGACATTCTTACTGATTTTCTCTAGAGATCTACTTGTCATGTCAGGAAGTAACAGACTTCATGATAAGCATCATTAGCTTGGAATGCCAAGCCATAGTGGTAGAAATATTTCTTTATTTTTCAAATGCTTTTCTTACATCTCCATTATACTATAATATACATTAATTCCAGAAAAAAAAGAAAATTCAGGTAACAACTTTTTTTCAAAATCATGCACTAAAATAGGTTATGTTCCTTTCCTTTCAAAATCCCACTGAAATGACAGAAGAGACTTAAAGTAAGAACGAACTGATAGCTGTGAAAAACAGGGAAAGTGCTGGTGGTAGACAAGACAGTTGATGAACTTTTGGAAGATACAAAACAGTTGGGATTAGGTTGATGAAAAATGGATTAGATAGCCACTAGTCAACATACCTCAATGAAGGTGCTACTGGAGAAATGAAAAGATAGTGTTTTCTAACAGAGCCCCAGATAAACGTCATGCTCAGTCAGCAATACTTGGAAGTAGGAGCACCAAACCAAAAACTCGTTGCCTTCGAGTCAATTCTGACCCATAGCAACGCTATAGCACAGGGTAGAACTGACCCATAGGGTTTCCAAGGCTGTAATCTTTATGGGAGCAGATAGGAGCAGGCCATGGGAAAAAGCAGAAGCAGAACCCTGACTACAATGGAGAAGCTAACACTGGGCTAGAGATTACCTAGTAGAAAGGAATTGGGACCAAAGAGTAAAACTAGTATTTTTGCATTTGACACCAAGAATATGCAGACCACTAATCCTAGCAGCAAATTTGTTGTTAGGTGCCATTGAGTCCATTGCAACTCATAGTGATCCCATGTAAAACAGAATGAAGCCCATCTCATTAACGGTCTTCCTCTTTTTCACTGACCCTTTACCTTACCAAGCATGATGTCATTTTCCGGGGATTGGTCCCTCCTGATAACATATCCAAAGTACGTGAGATGGAGTCTTGCCATCCTTACTTTTAAAGGAGAATTCTGGCTGTACTTCTTCCAAGACAGATTTATTCATTCTTTTCTGGTAATCCGTGATATATTCAATATTCTTTGCCAACATCATTAATTCTTCTTCAGTTTTCCTTACCCATTGTCCAGTTGTTGCATGCATATGAGGCTGTTGAAAATACCATGGCTTGGGACAGGCACACCTTAGTTCTCAAAGTGACATCTTTGCTTTTTGGCACTTTAAAGAGGTCTTGTGCAGCAGATTGGCCCAATGCAATGTGTCATTTGATTTCTTGACTGCTGCTTCCATGGGTGTTGATTGTGAATCCAAGTAAAATGACAACTTCAATAATTTCTCCGCTTATCATGATGTTGCTTATTGGTCTAGTTGTGAGGATTTTTGTTTTCTTTATGTTGAAATGTAATCCATACTGAAGGCTGTAGTTTTTTATCTTCATCAGTAAGTGATTTCAGTGCTCTTCACTTTCAGCAAGCAAGGTCATGTCATCTGCATAATGCAAATTAAAGTAGCAAATTAAAGTGATGTATCCGAAACCTGTACTTGTAAGTTTTACTGTTTAGAATTCTGCATGTTTGTTCTTTTTTGTGTTCATCTTAGTTTTAATGCAGTTATTTTTGAAGGACCTTCTAAGTGAGGCATAAGCAATA